CAGCATAATGTTCTCCAGAGTCAACCATTTTGAATAATATTGCATGAGTTCCTTGTTTTTTAATGCAGCATAGTATTCCATTGTGCGAATATACCACATGGACCTCATATTTTGAATCGTGGTTTCTTGTTTTTCTAGTGCTGCTAATGCCTTATTTGTTTTCTCTGCATTGTTCTGGATTGGGGTTTTTTTTGTTTGTTTGTTTGTTTTAGTTCCTCCTGGTTTTTGCTTGTAGTATCCTGTAATTCTTCAGGTTGTCTTTCATCCATTGAAAATATTCAGCCATTGTTCTTTTAAATTCTGTGTCAGAAAGTTACAGCAGACTTTCTGACTTTAGGAAATCCACTGATACTGTGTCACCCATTAAGGGTGACATCTTGCTTTGCACTTGTGTAGTGGGTGGAATAGCTTGCTTTCTTAGAGATATTGATATGTTCTTGCTCTGAATACAATGCTGTAGAGATCAGTTGGGCAGCTTCCCCATTTGTGTTTTTCTCTGAACTTCTGACTCCAGGGAAATGTTAGTTCAGAGTCTGTGAGAGCAGCCTCTTGAAGGTTAGACAGGTCAAGGTCCTCCGTATTAAAGGCAAGTTGATTGACCAGACATGTAGGCACTGGGGTGGCACATGCACAGGGGTGGGAACGATCACAAGGGCAGGTCAGCCACTTGGGGGACCTCACTCAGCCTTCAGCTGTCTGGGTGTGCTCACGATTGGGGTCCCTATTCAAATTCCAGCTGTCCATCTCCCACCTAGGGGTTTTCACTCAGCAGTCCCTGCTCAGTGGCACTTAATGCAGGTGCCCTCCCACAGTGGTCCCTGCCCAGGCAGGGTTCTTGGTCCAACAGGACCCAAGAAGTCAAAGTCAAATTCCCATCAACCCCGTCACCTCTGGCTGGTCTGCAGTGTGCACAAAAGTTTAGACAAATTACTATTGCCCCAAGAGAGCTCAGCCAAATTCCCACCAGTGGACTCACCCTTGGGTGCTCTGCCAGACAATTGGCGGTGCCCAGGAAACCCAGCCGAGATCTCACTGGCCTTTCTCCTGCCAGATCAGTCCCACAGCAGTTCGATTAGTGGCTTTTGGCGATGGCTGGATCCATGGTGTGGCTTTGTGTTCCTGTAGCTCCGAAATGAATTGCTCCAACAAAAGTTCTGATTCAAAATCCTACTGTCCACGGTTGTTGAGCAGTCTCTGTGCTGCGTGAAGGACTCTCTAGTGGCCCTGGGGCACCGCCGGGAGTACAGGGGCGCTACCGGGAGTTTGGTGCTGCCAGTCCATTCGCAGATGTTAAGCTGCTAAGTCACAGGTCTTCTGCACATCAGACTGCTTGCATTGCTGGAATTCGCTCCCCATGTCCTGTTTTTGCTTCTTGAAGTCCATCAATCTTTGATTTGCCTACTTGAGTTCTGATAACTCCATTTATTAATTTAAAACAAAATTTAAATGATTATTACATGAAGAATCAGATTAAATCTTGCTTTGACCAGCAGTGTATATGTATTGAAAAAAATTTCTTTCTCAGGGGAGCTCTGGTGGCCTAGTGGCAAGGTGCTGCAAGTACAATCCCAGAAACGCATGGTTCAAATCCACCAGACGCTCTGCCGGGGAAGGAGGGACAGTCTCCTCCTGTACTAGTCAGATCTGATTTGATGGTACACTCACACACAAAAAAAATAATAAAATAAAATAAAATTCTTTCTCTTATTTGGGAGACAAAAAAGCTAGAAATATTAAAATACTTTTCTTCCCAAAAAAACAGGCACAGGCTTTTCAGCTCTTTATAGAGTTCAAAATTGAATTGTACTGTTTCCTCCTCTCAGTAGTGCACGGGGTTTTTGTCCCCAGAGATTTTGTACCGAGTCCACTGTAAGGAGTTTACTACTATGAGATAGACAAGCTCAACAGTTTACATTTTTTAAAAAGAAATCATAATTGTTCCATAATTAGTTCCTTTTAAAATTTAAAATTGGACCATTTTTGTAACATGTTCTTACATAGTGCTCTTTGAATGCTCACTCACGCAACCTAACTTATACATCACTTCTTTTACTTTACAGGAAACATCTAGAACAGTTTCAGGCAGATTCAAAAGGTAAGAATCCTTAAATTATGATTTATAATATACTGGAAGCATTAGTGTAATGTCTCTAATCATAGCTTTACAAACAACTGTTTTAAAGCAAGTTTCTAAAAGCTAAGTTTTAATATTGTGCTTATGAAACATATTACAGTGTAGCTAGACATACGATAACTGTCTTACAGTGGCATCTTCTGCAGTCTTTGAAAATTGCCCGCATTATGAATTTACATACACTAGGTGAATTTAGCAGAATAAGAACAGATTCTCTTTCTCTCAAAAATTTAGTTACTTATTTTTAACTTTTTCCGTTTGACTAAAAAGTTATAGTGCCTTTCTATACTTTCTGTACAATTCATACTCATTTTTATGTAATTAATTGCAGTGCCATAAGTGTAGCATCAGTCATCTTCAGTCCTGAGTTTTCCATTTCATGTTCCACCTTCTTTTGTATCCTTTTTGAGCTTTATCCCCAAGTAAAACATGCACTTTGGTTCTGTTAGCATTAATTGTTCTAAGGAGTACATATCTCCCTACTTACCTAATAATGCTGTGTTTCGTTGGGCTGAATATTGAGCTATAGGGTTGAATTCTGTTCCAGGCTTGAAAATTGAATAACACTCTAAAGTATTAGTTTCTACCAGAAAAATAGACCAGGTCTTTTCTGAAGATCTTGAGTTTTGTTCCCTATTTTTCTCCTCGTCTGATGGTTTTAGTACGGCTGAAGTTAGGATGGCACACGGTAGGGAAAATGTTGAGTCTTTTGTTCATTAGAAGCCTAATTTACTTGACAGCCCTATATAATACTTTTAATTGTGATCCTTTTGAGTTGCCAGGCACCATATAGATTTTCTGGTCTCAAAGTTGTTGCAACTGAGATTGGCATGTAGTTAGTCCTTTGAACCATTGTGGTCTTTGCATCTTTTATTTTATTCTCTCTTCTTTGCTCCAGACAAGAAGAGGCCCTTAATTGCGTCTTAGGTGATCACTCACACTCATTTGCTACTCATCCAAGTAAGAAGTATAACATTGTCTTTGTGGGCTATGTTACATGCAGGAAAAAAAGTAAATTGTCATTTTCAATTTACTTGGATCTCTAATCAGTATCCACGGACACAACAGTCAATAAATCAAAAGATATATTTCTTTGGAGAAATCTGTGGTAAAGTGGTAAAAAGTAAAGGTAACATTTTGAGGTGGTCTTGCCCATGAGCTTGGATATTTTAAATGCCTTTTATCTACATACAAAAGCAGAACTGTTAATGAAGAGGAACACAGAATCAATACCCTTGAAATCTGACACTAGAGATGAATATTATATATACTATTGACAAATACACTATGACAAAAGAACTAAGTCTGTTTTGAATTGAAATACAGCAAGAAGATTCTTTAGAACTGAAGATGGCAAGATAGACTAGAACATTGAGAAAAATGGGAATCTCAGAACACTTAATTGTCTTCATTCAAAAGTTATACTTGGACCTAGAAATTGATGTCTAAACAGCAAGGGAACAGTGCATGGTTTGGAATTGGGAAAAGTGTGTGTCAGGGTTATATTCTTTTTTTTATAACTATTGAGTCTACAAGCTGAGCAAGTTATTCATGAATCTGGACTCTATGAAGAGGAATTAGGATCAGAGGAATACTAATCAACACCCATCATTATGCAGATGGTACAACCTTGCTTGGTGAAAGTGAGAAGGAACTGAACCACTTGCTTCAGAAAATCAAAGACTACTGCCCTCAATATGGATTACATCTCAACATCAAGAAAACAAAGGTCCATACCACTAGGCTAGTAGGCAACATCATGATAGGTGGAGAAAAGATTAAAACCATCAATGATTTCATATTACTGGGATCCACAATCAACAACATCCTTAGTGCCATCAATCAAGAGTCAGGAGATGAATTTTTTTGGGAAAGTTCACTGTCTGGGTCTTCTTGAGAAAACTGAGTAGCAATGATGTCAGTTTGAAGGTTAAGATGCCCTTGATTTAGATGGTCTTTTTAGTCACTTGCTCTGTGTCAGAGAGGCGGGCAGTGAGTAAGGATGACAGAAGAATTAATTGCTGCCTTTGAGTTGTGATAAACAAGAGTACTGAATATACCATGGACTGCCAAAAAAGCAAACAGATATGTCTTGGGGAAAGTGCAGCCAGAGTACTCCTTAGAGGCAAGGATGGTGAAGATTCATCTCTTATACTTTGGTCATGTGGCTAAGGAGAGAGGCAATTCCTTGAAAAATGCTTGGAAAGGTAGAGGGTCAGTGAAAGAGAAGAAGACTCCCAAACACGATGGATTAACATGATGATTGCAGCAGTGGGCTCAGGTATAACAGTTACAATGAGGATGGCACTGATAGGACTGAATTGAGGTCTCTTGTTCATAGGATCACTGTACGTGAAGAGCAAGGATCATGTGGGGAGAGCTATGTCAGGCCTTTGCCAACTCCATAATGCAGAGGTGTCCCTGTCAACAACACAGACAAAGCCAATTCCCATGAGGTCAAACATGTCCCCTCTGCTCCTACACCTCTTTCTCTTCATCCTAACACCAATCCTATTACTCTACAGGTTTGGAAATCTATCATGATAGCTAACACACACATAGAATCATAGTAGGAAAGTCAAAAGGTGTGGTAGCTGAATTTCATTTAGTTAAGTTTAGTAACAGAAAACAGTCATTGAGTACAGCTTCCAAAATGTGCTTACAGGTACCTCAGCCCTGAGCATTGTGGCTTTAGATCAGTGTTACAAAGCTCCCAGTCCTGCCGGTTGTGGCTCTCTCCCAAGTCCTCCAATGAACTTGAGCAAAGGCTCTTAACTCTGGTTCAGTAGTCCCATGGTCTCCTCTAAGGGAAGCCATTTTGAACAATAAATCATTAACTCCAGAGTCTTATTTAACAACCAGCAGTGACTAGTCCTTGACGGATATTATGCTTGGTAAAGTGGAGGGTTTATGGAAAAGAGCAAGCCACCTAAGGAAAGAAAATAACTCAAAGGTTAGGACAGTTTTCTCAAACAGAACAATTCTGAAGATGGTGCAGGACTCAAGACTGGGCAGTATTAGAACTGAACCTTTTAAGAGGGGGGAGAGGGGAATCATTACCTTAACTGCTGCTATTTATTTTCTTAATTTTTTATTTGAGTATGATGAAACTTTTGATTCTAAGTTGGTAATATTTATACATTGCTTGCTTATTTTAATCACCAAGAATAGTTCCAAATGAAAATAAAGAATTCCTCCCACCTTCTTTTTCCAAGAAATCATTACCATATAGTTTTAAATTTGTCTTGGTCTCCGGTCATAGACCTAAACCAAAATACTTTTTGTTACCAACTTTTGGGTTGGGGAATGAAGATAAACTTTAGTGACTTTTAACAGATTTATTTTGAGTCACGTGAATTTCATACAATCTTCATTTGAGAGCTGTGCAGATATATATTTCTTACGCAGTTAGTATCAATGTGAGTATAATTTTCTTATGAATACTAGAAGCTTTATGTATCATTATCTTAAGTTAGGAAGGAAAATTGTTTCCACTGACATACTTTATTATTTTTAAGCCTTTGAGAGAGAACATTCTTTTACTTGTCCTTATAATTCTTCTACTTTTGTAACCAATGGAATATAGTTTATTATCATCATAAAAATGATGATAGTGTTATTATAAAAAATTATAAAGCTTCACCTCATATACTTCAGGCATATTACTCAAAAGGGCTCTTCCTTGGAGGAATAGCGAAGGAGAGGAAGACCTTCAACCAGGTGGATTGCCACAGTGGGTTCTACTGTGTGTCAGAAAGTGTGATGATGGCACAGGATAGGACAGGGTTCACACCTGTTGTTCAGGGTCACTGTGGGTCATAATTGACTCAGTGGCACCTAACAACAACAGGAGATGAAGGGAGCGAGTTTAGGCTGCTCTAAAGGACTTGGGGGAGTAAGGGGAAGCCTGAGAAATAGATGGAATACCAGTGGACGTATTTCAACAAAAAGATGGTGTCTAGGTTCTGCCAAGAAATCTGGAGGATGACTACTTAGCCAACTGACTGGAAGAGCTCTATTTTTATTCCCATTGCAAAAAAAAAAAAAGTGACCTGATAGAGTATGGAAATTAACAAGCAATATCACTAATATCTCATGCTAACAAAGTTCTGGTGAAGATTATCCAAAAGCAGCTGGAACAGTACATTGACAGAACTTCCAGAAATACAAGCTAGGTTTAGAAGAGGTCGTGGCACTAGAGACATTATCACCAATGTCAAATGGATCTTGGCAGAAAGCAAAATATCAGAGAAGTGTCTATCTGTGTTTCATTGACTGCATAGGGATTTGACTTTGTGGGTCACAACAAATTGTAGCTAACCTTAAGAAAACTGGGAATCCCAAAACACTTGATTGTGCTTGTGCAGAACCTATACGTGGAACAGGAAGCAGTCCTCAGAACAGAACAGGGAAACACTGCATGGATCAAAATCAGGAAGGGATGCATCCTCTCTCCATATCTTTTCAATTAGTATGGAGAGCAGATAATTCAGGAGGCTAGGCTTTATCAGGAGGAATATGGCATCAGGATTGGAGGAACACTCATCATCAACCTGCATTATGCAGATGGCACAACCTTGCTTGCTGAAATGGAGGATGACCTGAAGCACTTGCTGCAGAAGGTGAAGGACTGTAGTCTTCAGTAGGGATTGAAACTCAACATCAAGAAGACAAAGATTCTCACCACTGGGCCAATTGGCAGCATTGTGATGGATGGATGGAGAAGAGATTGACTTTTTTTAACAGTTATAGCTTGTTTGGCTCCACAATCAACACTCTTGGCACCAGCAGTCAGGAAATCAGAAGATTAATTGCATTGGTTAAATCTGCTGTCAGGGACCTCTCCATAATAGTGAGAAATGATATCAGTCTAGAGACTGAATCAGGCCATGGTCTTTGCAATTACTTGCTATGCATCAGAGAGTTGTATAATGGCTAAGGATGAAAAAAGAAGAATTGAT